TTCCCTTAATAGATTGGACAATCATATTTATCTTCTTTACAATATAAAAAAACCACAGTTGGTTTTAGATATTTTAAAATAAAAAGATTTAAAAACTGGTTCCATAAAATTGATGTTTTTAGAAGTTGTTTATGCTTTTGGTTGATCGAGTTGAAAGTATTTGAACAATTCAACCTAATGTTTATGGTTTGAAAAATCTCAACTCAACAAAATCCAAACCAAATGGCAACCCAACCTAACTCGTACGGGTTAGCCGGATTGATATTTTGGTATATTAAAGTTTTTTTTAATCTTGAATATGTTATTTTATCTAGTGTATTCATAATTTCTTTTTTATCATCAACATTTGATACTTCTTAAATCTTAAGTAAATCACATTCAATTAATTTTCTTAATTTATATATATATATATATATATATATATATATATATATATATATATAAGGGTGGATCTAGTGCATGGTGGTAGGGGTCCTAGGCCCCCAACAAACTCACCAATTTAAAATAAAAGTTATAAAAAGATTTGCTTAGTAAAATTTTCTTATTGTGCGCCCAACAAGAACTAGGCAAGAGCCCCCAACAAGAACAAGACAAGCCCCCCTACTTGATATCCTGATTGTTAATTGGTCTATTTACAGCACACACTGATATTTTTGTTCAAAATATAAAAATATAAAAAATATACACCTCGATGAATTAGTAAAAAGTCAACTGAAAATCGACCTGAATAAGTTATCTTTATTCGATTAATTGAACCGTTTAAGCCGAAAAGGAAAACCCCAAACCGTTTTCATCCGGATGAATTATTTGGTTTTGAATTTTTTTTTTCTACACCCATAAGTGTGCCCCCAACTATAAAAGTTTATGGATTCGCCACTGTATATATAGATAGGAGCGTTCAAATAAAAACTTGCCCCATTTGTGTAAACCGTGTAAACCAATCTCATTCATCCATTTTATTGATCAATGACTAAGATTAGTTTACTTTATTTTAGGAAATTAAAAAATAAAAAATATTAAAAATTTATTTTATTTCAATACTAAGGG